GGTTTTCATTTTCCGTGCGAAATGCCGTTTTCCGATTGGCTCGCTCTATTTTCGCGGCGGCTGCGGTCGGCAGTAGAACAAGCCGTAGTACAGCTGCCGGACCCGCCGTTTCGTCACCGTTGGCGATCTCCGCATAACGCGATAAAAAAAAATTAAAAAACCACCCCAATACATTCTCCGCTACACTCGGAATCTAAAAGCTACGGCCCGACAAAATTCACTATACGCGCCGTGAACCCGGCCGCTTTAGCGACAGCGTGTGAAAAATCGCTGCTCGCGTCGACGCGGACGGACGACTTTCAAAGGATTTTCCACGCCGACCTATATTTTCGTATTCGTTGTCGCCGCGATAAAACTCGCGACCGATTCGGCCGCCAAGCCAGCCCGGCCAAAATCGATCATCCCGCCCTCCTCCCGCCACACCGCCTACAATGTTCAGGCGCGCCGCACAAATCGTTTTTAGGAGAATAATAATACCACTGTCGCGCTCTGTCCACTGTGTCCCTGTCCCCCTGTCTCCGTTTCACGGTCTCTATAATCTATGTAGTTACTGTGTTACGATAATAACGTTTCGTTATTATTACTATACGATTACTTTATATAATATTAAACATTATAAGAATATACGATCATGCGTATATAGTTAAAACTAGTGTCTAAACCGTAATATTATTGTTCTAGAATTATGAAATATTTCGATTTTTTTTTTTTTTTTTTTTTTTTTTCTCCTATTATTTTGTCGCGTGTAAATATTCATTTATTTATATTTATATAATAATATATTATAATCATACGTATATTTATAATTTTTTTTTTTTTTTTTTTTAATCTATAAAACATCGTCGCGAATATTTTATTACGGTACAACGATGACGATATTATTATTATTATTAGGCAAAATATTTTTTTTTTCCATGTACAACGATGCGTTAGAATAACCTCTATCTAACGAGCATATTGATATAGATAATGCAGCTGATGATGCGAGCAACGGATAAACGGTTAGGTAAGGTTTCGCCGGAGAGGATAAAAAAATGAAAAAAGAAAAAGAGTTAACGATATTATTAACGATGTTTTTCCGCCTTTTTTGTATTTGTTTCTTTTCTCTTTTTTTACGTTTTCGAGTCGTCGAAGTTTTTATACATGCATATTGCGTGTATTATAAAAAGTCGATCTCGGAACGGTCGAAAAACCTAAAAATATCATTAAAATCTCCTAATAAAAAATAAAAATATATTATTATTTACCTATATACATCTCTGCCGTCTGATGAATTTATTATTCTGTGCTCTTTATATAGGGGTTTTACTAACTGACCTACATATACTATTTTTTTTTTTTTTTTTTTTTTTTTTTTTTTGGTTTTTTTAACGAGCGTATATTATTATTATTACTATAACTATAATATTAGTGTTTTTGATATGGAAAAAAAAAAAATGTATTTTTGTATCATTAATCCATTTACGTTTAATTTTAATATTTATTATACTATAATAATAATAATTAAATTTCATTATTATAACGTGTAGCGTTAGTGTCTTAAGTAATACAATAATATTAAATAATACAGAATGGTATGATTCGTATTGTATAATATCTATTGTATTACACGTAAAAAATAAAAAATATTTTTAGTACCTAACATATAAGATTATTACTATTTTATTATTAGAATTATGATTATATTATAATGATAATACGTTTATTTTAAATATAATTTTAGCATTGAAATCGTGTGTTTTTTCTTTCTTTCCTCCCCCCCCCACGTTAATCATTTACTTAAATATCATTTATATCACCTACGCAATGTTTATACACAGAATATTATGTGGAAACGCTCGGAAAGTTCCGTTTGAACAGGAATGTTTTCACGTTCACATTGTAATTATATGTAACTAACTGAGAAGGCTCGTAACATGATGACGTGATTGAAGGAAGGAACCTGCAGTTTCTTTCATCGTTCCCGACAAATGAACATTATTCGTTCCTAAAATAAAAATAAAAATTCTTAATTTGTATATTTATAACAAAGGTATAGCTGTACATTATTTCGATTGAAATTTTAATGCATTAAATCGATTCCATGAACACCTGAACTGCAGACGTGTCCTTTAAGGGAGGCATTGGAACGAATTTATATAATATTAATACATTTTTAAAAAATACAAAAAAAAAAAAGGTTTTGAAAGTTCGTAGGTATTACTTAATAATAAGTCTCGCTAATAGTAGATACTTGGAATTTCGATACTTGGAAATATAATAATAAGTATAATATTATTATGCGAACAAAGGAAAAAAAATGATAGTAAAAAAAATTTAACTTGCCGATTGAAAAAGTTAGTAAATAAATAAATCCAGTGGCAAAGCTAGGGAGATATTGAGTGTTGTATCCCCAACCCCAGTGATTGTAAAAATTTTAGGTCCACGGCTCCTTTTGATTTTGAAATAAATTATACGGCTCCATAAAAACATTTAAAAGAAACAAATTTACATTATTTTATCATTTTAATTTAACTTTATTTAATGATAAACATGCAATTATTAATAATAGGAAATCATTTTTTTTTGAGATTTATTTTTTTTTGCATACTATTATCAAATCGTGGCGTACATTTTGAAAGCGCAATTCTCATTTCCTTTTCAGTATTCAGTCTTCCACTATATTTAGTTTTAATAACTGCTAAGGCCGAAAAACCCGTTTCACATAAGTATGAAGAAGCAAATGGAATCTTAGTCCTGATAGCCTTATTGGATACTGCTTCTTCATAGCGATCCAAAATCCTGGTAAAGATGATGATGCAAATTTTGATAATAAATCTGAGAATGAGTTTACTAGTTGTTCTTGTTCAGAAATTGTTAATTCTGACGGTAGATCAGTAGTAAAAGAAGTACATCTTTAATACAATTTTGTTATTGATCGTCCTCGGGAAAATAATTTCGGAAGTGAACAATAAGTCGTGATAAGTGTTCCATAAATAATTTTTTCTATTAGATTAATTATTCAGATATATTATGGTACAATACTTTTGGTACTCTAGAAAATTTAATTTAAAGTTTTCAGATATTGCCGAGTTGTTTTTGTACTGGCCATTCATTATGCAATCGAAACATACGAGAGTGGGATCAATTTGTCGAAAAAAAGCAAGAAAAGTGACTGCGCCCGTCCCCATCATCCTTGGAAAGCTTTTTCTTTGTGTTGAAATTTGGCGCGTTACAGTGAGATTCTGTCTATTTTGAAAAATCCATCTCTTCTTGCAGCTCCACACACGGTTAAAAATTGTACACGTCTCTCGACCGATTGTGTGCGACAGGGCATCTAAGAGAATCAGTGCTGTAACATATCGGAATACAGTATTTAGATACTGTTTTTGTATCTTGTGTCTGCATCAAGATACTTTCTAAAATGTGTATCTGTATCTTAGATACAAAACATTTTGTATCTTAATGAAATTATCTGAGACACGTTTTTAGATAAAACTTTTACTTTTTTGATGTTTTTAACGAATTAAATGATGAAAAGAAAAATCTGTTTTCTGAAACGCATCTCAGAATGTATCTTAATGTGCCCGCAATCGTATCTATTAGTGTACTATACAGTCTACTGCTGTATCTGTAGAACTTTCGAACGAAATATATTCGTATCTGTATCGAGATGCCAATGTTAAGTATCTTATTACAGCACTGGAGAGAGTGTATCCGAAATCGCAGCACGCACCAGATCTACGGTGTCGCTTATTTTCTCAAGTGCACGGTTATAGCATATAACCAGTCGAGTTAATCGGAACCCATAACGAAAAGTTACCGCTGCCCTCTATAATATGTTATTATTACCGGGTAATATCGTATTAAACGGACACGGGCGCGTAACTCGCGGCAACGGGATTCAAATATCGTACCGTTGTCATATAAACAATAGTTATAAAATTTTTACAATATTTTGTTCCGTTTCGGTATCGTTTTTCAGTCGCACACGGTCGAGAACGTTTTCCGCGCCCGATCCCGGGGGAGAAAAAAAAAAAAAATGCGATGCACCTCGTTCGAGGGCCCCAACGGCGTGTTCGCCGTCGAATTGGGCAGCGGCCATGAGCTCGTCCGCTCGCTGTTCCGGCTGATGTACGTTCGATCGTTCCGGCCCATGTGGTCGATCGTCTGCGGGCTGTGGGCGATCGTCGTGTCCGCGGTGCCGGTAGTCGCGCGGCTCGCCGAGTACGTGTTGGAAGCGGCCGTCGTGGCGACCAGGTCCGGCGACCCGCCGAGGCGTCGGAACGTGAGAGCCGCGTACGCCCGCCTGGCCAGGTGTCTCGCGGTCGCGGCGCTGCTCGCGTGGCTGTACGTGCGTTTCATGGTTGTTCCCGTGTTGTGCACGGCCTTCGAATACGTGGCGATCGCCGTCCACGTTGTCCGGTGCTTGTGATCGGCGGACGCCGCCGCCCGTGCCGCCTCCCCGCCCCCTCCCTCCCCCAACCGCGCTACTCGCCCGGGCGAACGTAAAGATCGGGTCCGGTCCCCGGGCCCCGGGCCCGCGTCGATTGTACGGCGGAATTGTTTGAAAACAACGCAACCGTTTTTAACCCTCCCCGTTGATTACGCGTTTTCCCCCCCCCCCGACTGTTAAAATTTAATCGAATAAAATATAATCCGTCGTTTATAGCAAATTATATTTTGTACGTTTCGAAGCATGGCTCATAGAAAACTATTGTACCGATCCTCCTCTCTGTACGTACCGAACCATATACCCCGCAGACCAACTCAAATCTTGAAAATGATTGACGACGAAGCAAAAATCCAAAAAAAAAAAGTGCAAAAGTCACATTACAAAATATGCAAAAATTATTCAAAGTAATAATAGTTATAATAATATTTTATACATTTTTAATTTTTAATAATATTATTTTTTAATAATAATTCAAAAACATTTAATGTCATAATCAATATGCACAAATAATATAATTATAAATAAATAACAATAAATAACTATGTTGAATAATATTGAGTTTTATATTCAATATTATTTAAAATACATTTGTTAAGAAATCAAAAAAAAAAAAAAAATCAATTTTTTTTTTATCAAATATTAAATATTATGCTTAATATGCGTAAAAATAGCGCGAAAATCGATGAACTACGCACTTTTTCTCTAAAATTAACGAACCACGCAACAATTTTAAGTGTTCGATTTTTAAACTCTCCTAGAACTTCTCTAGAAAGAATTTCTAGCTTACCGGTATGCTATAAATCCAGTACACAAAGAAAAATATGTAATTCCTATGACTTCCGAGCCCTAATAATAAAAATCGAGAGACCGGTGAAATATTGTTCGGCAAATAACTGTATTATATTATGACTCTATGGGATTCGTTAGACGTTACTAAAAGTATAATTCTGCACTTCGTATCTATATAATAATAAATAGTGGATCGAAAAACCATGCTATACACGCGTTGATCAAATATCGTATTGTTGTATTTTTTTCACGAAATACTTACAGTTTTATCAAAAAAAAATATATATATATAATAAAAAAAACTTACGTATATATATATATATATGTATACGATCGGACCAATCCACAGAAATTGAATGTGTTTTTTTTGTTATTATTTTTTATATCCGTTATATTATATTTATGGAGTTTCGACACAGATCCGTTCGTCGAAACCAATTTAAAATGTATTGTAGGATTTTCTAGAGGTCGCAATAACCTGGGTATACGTAATATAATATATTCTGATACGATTCCCTGCAGTGCAAGTATCCGCCAGCCAATTTATAATCAAATTTTTTATACGTTTTGACAGCCAAGGATAATGATATAGGTCGGTGTAATAATCCCGTTGGAAAAAAAAAAAACAAAATAAATAACCAGACGCCATAAATATTTATAACTACTTACAGCACTGCTGATTGGTTCAGAGAAGAAAAAAAATTCTTTCGACCGATTGTATATATTATGTATACGATATGATTGACCGCACTGCTATACGTACATCTATAAATAATGATTTTTTTTTTTTTCATAAATTTTATTGGATTTTACAACACAGCCTCACCGTTCGATACGTAACATTATTATGCTATTTTTAATACCCACGTTCAGCTCAGAGTGGTTTGAAATGACACGGAGTATAAATTATCTGTATTATACAGGGTTTATTCAAACGCCGGGCACAGTGATATAGCCTAGGGGGAGGCGCGAATAAAGCAATAGCTGCTTTATTAGTGGCTATAGAATCACCCCGCCTATGTTACTACGTATACATATTATTTTAGGATTTGAGTGTTAATTACTAGTTATTTCTTCCATTTCTTGAAGAACCGTATGAAATCGTATTATTTAATGAGAGAGTTCTATGTTAGAAAATAGACTTTAACTGGTTAGCCATGGTTAATGTAAATTATATAATAACTGTCTTTGTTCAAAATTATTCTAGAAGGATGCAGCCGACAGAAGGGTATATATAGTTACCGCAAGATAGTCAAATTTAAAGCTGTAAATTGAATGCGCTAAATAAACTTAAAAAAAAGCGTTTAAATGTCAAAAAAACGCAATAAAATATGCACATAAAAAGCAAAAGGTGCACTTAAATGCCAACATTTGTAGTATAAAATGCACCTAAAATGGTTTTTAATTTAATTTTAAATTCTGAGAGGACCTATGGTTTTACAAAGATGTTTATTTTTATTTTTTTTATCGGTAAACAAATTTTATACCAGTAATCGTGCTCTTACTTATGACGATAACAATTTTTCTAGAAGGAAATTTCACTAGGGAGGTACTTTACGTTTTTCGATTGTCCCAGGAATTTTTCCAGCAAATTTGAAAAACCAGGATAATTAAAGGAAACATATGAAGCCTATTTAATTGTTTTACTATAAAATGACATATATATATTGTTGACAAAGCATCACTATCAACTGAACTCTGCTCAGAATTGTTTTTTCGTAAGCAATGGTTTATTGTTGCTTACAGGTTTATTCTAAATATACTATAACAGTAGCTACACACCCGTTCCTATTATCCTAGGACGTTGTTTTATATTTATATTGATGATTAGTATATTGAATGCATACAAAATGTATTTGATTAATATAAAAACAATACGAAAATTCGTTCGGGCCGGGTTTCGTTTTCGTGTTTGCGCGGTTAATGGAAACGACCGCCTCCGCGCCGGCGCGGCGGTATAATCGACGTCGTCGTTCCGCACGCGCCCCCAGTACCCGAGACGCGTCTTGCCCGTAGTCAACATCACCTACCGTTTCCTCGTAACCACGAAAACGCCACGCGGTACGACGCAAGGGCGACGAAAATGACTTTGACGTCATAGACGTGTCGGGAATACCAGGAGTGCATGCACGTGTGCGAGGCGTCAGTGCGCCGAAATCCACTATTCGTACACGCGTAAAATCGCCCATTGATTCGTAACCAGTTTAATTCCGACCGCTTCGATTACGATTGCGTAACGTTTTAACGTCGTCTATACTTTTGTCGTGGCATTTTAACGGCGACGTTTCGTCCGCGATAACGAGAAAGTGTTCCGCGACAGTAACGATAACGTGTTCGTATATTAATTACTGTCTACATTAAATACATACCGCGGTACCTAAGATGTTTTAATGTTCAATTCGACCGGACAATTCATTTAAATGGAATCATATCATATGTATATATATATCACGCTATCATACGCTCATTGCCTCGGGAGGTATTGACTTCTTTCAGAGTTTGTTTTCCGGAACATTTAAGGAACAAGCAGTTCCACAATTTTATGTTATTTTTTGTCGCCCTTATTTTTGGCGGTGAACTATCTATCTACTTTTGATTTTCAAACGGCAATCTGTCTATTAAAAGTCCATAAATAGACGGAGTGTTATATGGAGTTTTAGTGTTAACATTTTAACACTTGAACACGCCCCGCGCCGTATTGACACACAAATGATACCCCCACTACTCTCCTCCTTCCCACACGTACAAGTGGAATATCTCGTCGACGGATCGACGGAAATCAAAAATTTCTACACTAAAATTTATGTTAACTTAAGAGTACTCCGTCTGTTTATGGAATTTTTAACATAGTTTGCCATTTCAAAATCAAAAGTAGGAAGTCGTTTCACCACTAAAAATTAGGGTGACGAAAAACAGTGTAGATGTTAAATGTCAGAGCAGCTTCTTTCTTAAAATTTTTAAAAATAACAAAATTGAAAAAAAAATTTAAATACTTTCAGAGATAGTGTACCTACTTAACTTAAATAGATCACCATGTATGTATTTCACAAGCGTTCCAATGGTGTAATTTGTTAAAACAAAAAAACAATACATTCCTCGTTCTACTTAATAAGCAAACATATTGTAATAGTTTCTATTCAGTTCTGCATTCGTCACTTTGTTTACATTTTCGGATCAAACGTCGTGACAAAGAAAATAATTCATAAATTAATAATTTTAATAAATTTGTCTTGGTTTTTTCCTGTAATTATCTGTTTATAGTAAGTAGGTATTTGTAATAATAATAATAATAATAATAATAATCAAAACTCTGCGTTTAACGAAAACAAAGGGACATGTTTCGACCGATAGATTGGTTGTAGGTGAGAATTTGGGAAAGTAGGATTTTAAGAGGAATTTAATGTATATCTGTAGGCAACTATTATTCAATGCTTACGAAAACCAATTCTGAGCGGTGTTTGGTTATACATGTTTTAAAAGGCTGTAATATTTAAAATTTGATCTTACAATTTTTAAAATAAAAAAATGTTACATTACCCTCAATTCTTTTTTTTTTATTTTCACAAAGTCTGACTTATAATAATGAACTTGTTTGACGTAATTAAATTTAAATTTAATATAAATATAAGTTTTCTGGCCAAATGTCAAGACTACGACCGTTTTTAAATGAATTACAACAACAAAAAAAAACTATTATTTTCGAAAATCTCCCGTTATTTCTTTCCGAATTTTTCTCATGTTTTAAAACCCTTTGGAAAATCGAAAAAACGAATTGCTTTCCCACAAATGTATTAGAGAAATATTTCTGGTTAGAAAACATGAAGCATACATATTTATTAAAACGAAAATTTAACGCCGTAAATTTTGCGTATTTTTCCGGTTTTGCACAACAATTACGCATAATTCAGTAATATGGCCGGAATTTCTAATCGTGAATTCTCGGGTGAATACTTTTGAGTCACGTTTTACTTCTACGTTACGTGAATTTCAACGCCGATGAGAAACGACTCGGGTATACCAGGAGTGCATGTGGAACTACGTCGACGAGCCGCCGTAATGTTCGGTGTACCGGCCGTTTAAATATCATCAATTTCCATGGATTTTCGATGCCTAATGTTTATCCTCGAGTCGCATTTCACTTTACTTACTCGCTTACCTTTACTTACCTACATTATCTTACTTCGCAATGT